GGAAGGAAGATGGGGCAATCTACTTCCGTAGTGATACTGCCTCGGAAACCCAAGGAGGAGTCGCTATGAGTCGGGTCCGACTCCACAGCACGTAACAACAACAATTCTTAGAAGACTCTTTTAAATTAGGAAGTTATTACACATATTGATGCTGATTGTTGTATGTGTCCTTAGGCTCTTGCAGACCAATTTGAAGATAAGACTACATCTGTATTGGAACGTCTGAAGATTTTCTATTGCTGTCAAGTACCACCTCATTGGGCCATTCAGGTATTTGTATTGTTATTGTCATTCTATATGGAATGTGCTTAGCTCTCAAAAGAAAAGTGGATTAGAAAAGAATAAATTTTTATTTCCTTTTGAATTTTCAGTTGTTTCAATGAGAAGATAAAATTACCTGCCTGGGGGTTGTCAGTTACTTCAAATTGCTATTTTGATTAAGGTGATAATAGGCTTTTCAGAATTTTTTAAGTATTTAAAACTTAAAATAGAATTCTAGACAGACAGGGATCAGTGAATAGAGGTATACTCTAGACCAAGGATAGACTTAGCTAAGGCTAATCTTACACAGACACCAGTGATACAAAATACCTGCAGTCCTTACACAAACAATAGAAGACAGACACAGAGTAATCCCTCACAGATATCCCAACACTATGGGAGAGAGATCCAATAGAGCTACTACCTCAGGACCATAGTACTGGGGTACACCAGACTCAGTTGGCACAACAAAATACATAAAAGCGTTGCTCCACATCCTACATTGGTAAGTAGAGACTGGGGTCTTAAAAGCTTTCAAGCAGCCATCTAGGATAGAGCTAATGGTCTCCTAGCATTGGAAATGAAGAAGAGTGCACAAAAGAAAAACAAGGGCATTTAGAAGCAATCAACCCTAGGACACGATGGCCCTAGAGACCAGAAGAACCGGATGGTGCCCGGCTACCAATGCCGGCCACTCAGGAAAGGATCAAATCTGGAGATCCTGGATAGAGTGGGAGGGAAAACGTGGAACAAAATCCAAAAACTCAGTAATGACCAGAATTACTTTTCAGATGAAATCTGGTGAGACTCCCAATACTATGGCCCTGAAATACATTCGGGGCCTGGGATAAAACTCATTCCCAGGGGCGGGCTCTCAGCCCAATAGTTAGCGAGATGTACACACAGACCACTCAACCCAGGATGCTGAACCCACATAATCAATGGTAATATATTCCTTAAAGCAATAGACCATGGGACACCAGAGGACGAACATTCAAACTGAGGAAATGCAGGACAAACAGGAATGCATAATTATGAGGGGCACGGGGGAGTGTTGCAGGGTAGGGAGGGGAGGAGACTGGGTTAGGGCTGGACATGGCAAATGGGGAATGAAACTAAATGTACGCATGCCTTTGAATGTAAAACAAGCTCTTAAAATAAAAAAAGAAAAAATAGAATTCTAGAAATTAAATAATAGGAGAACCATAAAACTTTTATCTTCAAAAATTTTAGGACCTCTGGTGGCGTGGTGCCTAAGGCATTTGACTGCTAACCAGAAGGCTGGTGGTTCAAACCCACCAGCCACTCCGCAGAAGGAAGATTGGGCAATCCATTTCCATAAAGATTTACTGCCTCAAAAGCCCAAAGAGGGTCGCTATGAGTCAGAATTGACTTGATCGCAGTGAGTTTGTTTTTGGTTTTTAAGGACTTTCTGCTAACCAAATTATTTACAAAGAGTAAGAGCGTTTATTAGATATGATATACTTTGGAATATTCTTATCTACTCTGTTCTTTCTGAGGATATGAACTATCTCTTGTAATTCCCAAAGCCCCATGTTGGGGTAGAAATTCTATCTTCCTGCTGTATTGTAGGTGTGGTGTCCCTAATTTGTAAAATGTTCAGGCTGAACTTAGACATCTGGTCAAGTTTTAATTTTATAGAGAAGAAAATTGAGGCCTAGTGCTATTAACTCTACTTTTCCAAGGTTGATCACACAGCTGGTAATGAGCCTGGTCTCTGGTTTCCTCAGTTTTAGTTCAATTAACCTCCTTCCCTAAAAACGCTATTGAGTTGTGGTTATACCTTCTAATAAAAGCCAACTTTTAGTGCTTACTTAGTATGATCTTTGCATTTTACTCTGCATTTCACACACATTATCTTACTTTGTGAAGTATTCCCATTTTACAGATGAGGAAGCTAAGGCACAAAGAGGTTAAGTAGTTATAGTACTTTCAGCACCCCTCATGGCGTAGAATCAAATGATGCCAGCCAGATGTTTCTGGATGATTTAGTAACTGTTGTCATTTTAATCAGCTTCCTGTCTGCTCATCCTTGTGGACCGTGCACATAGGTGGTGGTGTTAGGCGCTATCAAATTTTTTGTGACTCATAGAGACCTCATATGATAGAGTAGAACTACTCCATAGGGTTTCCTATTCTGTAATCTTTACAAGAGCAAGTCAGCATTTTGAACCTACCAACTGCTGTACAGGAGAAAAGATAGGACAATCTGCTTCTGTGAAGATTTACAGCCTTAGAAACCCTATGAGCAGTTCTACTCTGTCCTTAAGGTAGGTCACTATGAGTTGAAATAGACTAGACGACTGTGGGTTTATAACATCCCCAGTGGAGTAGCTTTCTCATCAGCAAGATGTTAACAACTGGAATTTGTTGGCACGTTTTTGACCCTGATCTGTGAAATTTAAGTCCTTTGTACTATGTGGTTTGTGATGTATAAACATCTCAGACACTGAGCTATTATTATAACACAACATATGTTTGCTAAGGGTGTAGCTTTTAATCTGTGTTTTAACAGAAGTGTTATGAAACTTAAATACTGTTCACACAGAATTTAGGCTAATTGCTTGTTTTATCTATCTGTGAAGATGTGGTTTTTTTGGATCCTTAGGCAGTTCAATAAAGATCCTTTTTAATTAAGCCAATAAATCACTTTTCTTTTTGGTTATTACATAAAGAGTAATGATATCTACATGTATTATTTCAGTGATCAAGAGAAAACAGCCTACTGTATCATAGTAAAACCAGAATTAATCGTTACTGTTAATTAGCCATATCATATTGGATGCCACCACCTTTCTTCATCTGTTAAACAAAAAGTTTGAACTACTTACTGCATGAGCACTCAGATCTATTCCAACTTCCACAGACTGTGTTCAGTTTTTGGAAATGTCTACATACTCTGAAATAGTCCAATTCTGCAATATTTCATGGAATACAGAATTATTATACCACTCTTCTCCCCTTGTTTGCTTTAGTGACTTGTTAGCTTGTAATTTTCATGTATCTTTCCTTTTGGCCATCTCAAATCTTCCATATTCAGTAGTTTCTTAACTCTTGAATATGTAATTAACTTCAAATGAGTAGTAAAATTGTAACTAAGAGAAAACAACACATCTCTCATTAATATGAAACTATGCCTTACTCAAAACCCTCTACCTGCTTTTTAACCTTTCTAATATATTTTTTTATTCCTGCATGATGGACCCTTGATAAACCAGAATGTATTTCTTTTTGAATATATTTATTTAAACTTTACTGGTACCTTTTTATCTGCCAAAGACTGGGGAATTAGATAGGTAAATTTTGTAATAATGTGCTGAAAATAAAGCTAAGTAGCCCCGAGTGAGAAGGAGCCAGAGATACCCTCATGAATAAAGTACACGGTTACTTGTATATGTGCTTCATGTCATCTATATAGACTGCTCAGAGTCCTTTTTTTTTGTCGATTTATTAGTTTTCGTCTTTACAAATCACAGATTGTCATATATAAAGTGTCTAGATAGAAAAGAAATAATGATTTTGTTTGTTAAACTCTTGAGTTCTTAGGAAAAAAACAGTTGATATATTGAGTAATTTGAACTGTTTCTATGTTCTTTTATTTTCTGACTCCCAATAGAGGTTGAATTATAGAAATTATGTATTTATACAATGAATAGACTCTTAAAAAGGCAGATTGAGTATATTTGTAAGTATATTTGTAAAAAATGTTAATTATTTTAACTTAATTTGTCTAGCGCCAACTTGGAAGGTTACTGTTTGAGTTGGGATGTACCAGTTCAGCCCTTCAGATATATGAGAAGCTGGAAATGTGGGAAGATGTTGTCATTTGTTTTGAAAAAGTTGGGCAGCATGGTAAGGTATGTAATAGTAAAATTTCTATGTTCTAGTGAGAGCCTTCCCTTACGGGTCATTGTCTAACTTTCTTGCTTTTAAAGCCCATTTTTTAACCCCCTCACCCCCCACAAACACCCGAACCAGTTGCTGTCAAGTGAAATCCAACTCCTGGTGACCGCATGTGTGCAAAGTAGTGCTGTGTTCCAGGCTGTGACCTTTCAGAAGAGATCGCTAGGCCTTTTTCTGGGTAGACTATTTTGGGACTCCTTGGGTGGTGCAGATGGTTAACACACTTGGCTGCTAACCAGAAGGTTAGGTGTTCAAGTCCACTGTGAGGTGCCTCAGAAGAAAGACTTGTTATCTACCTCTGAAAATTCAGCCATTGAAAACATGGAGACAATTCTATCAGAATCAACTTACTGTCAACTGTTACTAAGAGAGAAAACAGTTGCCATTAAGTCACTTGTATTACATACATAGTGTTACACATAAAATACTAAGAAAAAATATTTTATGTGTAAGACTATGTATGTAATATATAAAAGAGAAAAACAAATAGAGATTGATATGTGCGTGTTTATGTTAGATATTTGATATTTAAGATAGGATGACACAGTAGCTAAAAGATAAAAACAATACAAATGTCCATCAATGGATGGATAGATAATTTGTGGTATATCCATAAAATGAAAGATAACTCAGCCATAAAGAGAAATGAAGTCCTGATACATGCTTCAACATGGTTGAACCCTGAACCTCCAAAACACTATGCTAAGTGAAAGAAAAAAAACGGCACATATTGCATGGTTCCATTTATATGAAATATCTAAAAGAGGTAAACCCACAGAAATAGAAAGCAGATTAGTGGTTCCAAGAGGCTTAGGACATTTGGCTGCTAAACAAAAGGTTGGCAGTTCGAACCCATCAGTAGTCTGCGTCCATAAAGAATTACTACCTCAGAAACCCTATGGGGCAGTTCTACTCTGTCCTCTAGGGTTGCTGTGAGTCAGAATCGACTCGGTGGCACTGGGTTTGGTTTTTAGGTTTAGAGGTTTGGAGGGAGGGAAGAATAAAGAGTAGCTGCTTAATGAGTATGAGATTTCCTTTTGGAATGATGAAAACGGTTTGGAACTAGATGGAGGTCAGAGTTGTACAACATTGTGAATGTATTAAATGCCACTGAATTGTGTGCTTTAATATAGCTAATTTTATGCTATGCGAATTTTACTTCCCTTAAAAAAAAAGAACAAATAATGAAAGCCTTGAAGACAATGTTGTTTTGATCTGCCCTCCTATAGGACAGCTACAAAGTGAAATATTAGGAATTATTTCATGTTTCATTGGGTTGCCTTATGATCAGAGGCTGTGGGCCTGAAGGGTGGTACCTACAAGGTACCTAACAGGGCCTGTGTAGGATAATCCAAAGGATGTGACGGTCCCCTGGGAGTAGAAGACTTGTCAAATGTGTAATGCATATTAATTTTACCCTCAAATTGGGTCAAGAGGAAAATGTTGCAGTATTTATATCTGTTATTAATCTATTGTTTTTCCCCTTATAAATAAACAGAATTTTAAAAAGAATAAAGGGCTCTGTGTTATAAATAGCCATTAAAACTGACACATTGAAATTGTATATTAATTTGGGTCTAAAATCTTAAATGGCTAAATTTCTATCATAAATACAGTATATCTCCCTGAAAAAGAGTAGTAGTGGTTCAAGTACACATATATCTAGTTCTTAAATACCTTTCTAATCATGTCTAATTTAGACAAATGGTAGGAATTTACATTCTTTTTATTAATTGGTTAATGGCAATGAAGGTATTTAAATGGTGCACTGCCTACAGCATTTGACTGCTAACCAGAAAGTTGGCAGTTCGAATCCATCAGCCACTCCATGGAAGGAAGAAGGGGCAATCTACTTCTGTAAAGATTTACCTCCTTGGAAAAGCAGTGGAGGTCACTGTGAGTCAGAATGGACTCAATGGCTGTGAGTTTTTGGGTTTTGAAGGAGACAAGGATGTGGGAGTAAAATTTTATTGTACATGATTATAGAATTAAAATACTTTATTCTTGGGAGTTGTTGCTGTTAGGTGCTGTCAAGTCATCTCCAACTCATAGTGACCCTATGCACAGCAGAACGAAACACCGCCTGGTCTTGAGCCAGCTCCATGATTCTTGCTTTACTTGAGCCCATCGCCACTGTCACTGTGTCAGTCCATCTTGTTGAGGGCCTTCCCCTCTTTCGTTGACCCTCCACCTTACCAAGCATGACATCCTTCTCCAGGGAATGGTCCCTTCTGACAACATGACCAAAGTATATGAGATGAAGTCTGGCCATTTTTGCCTCCAAGGAGCATTCTGGCTGTACTTCCTCCAGGATAGACCCGTTAGTTCTTTTAGCAGTCCATGGTACTTTCAGCATCCTTCGCCAATACCACATCTCAAAAGCATCAACTCTTCTTTGGTCTTCTTTATTAATTGTCTGGCTCTCACATGCATATGAGGCGATTGAAAATACCATAGCTTGTGTCAGGCGCACCTTAGTCCTTAAGGAGATATCTTTACTCTTGAGCACTTGAAAGAGGTCATGTGCAGCCGATTTGCCCAGTGTTATACGTTGTTTGATGTCCTGCCTGCTGCTTCCATTGGCGTCGATTATAGAACCAAGCAATGTGAAATCTTTGACAATTCCAATTTTTTCTCTATTTATCATCATGCTGTTTATAGGTCCCATTGTAAGGATTTTTGTTTTCTTTATACTGAGATGTAATCCACACTGCAGATTATATTCGTCAGTCTTCATCAGTAAGTACTTCAAGTTGTCCTCCCTTTCAGCAAGCAAAGTTGTATATCATCAGCATATCGCCGGTTGTTAATGATTCTTCCTCAAATCCTGATGTCACGTTCTTCTTCATATAGTCCAGCCTCTTGGATTATTTGCTCAGCATACAGATTGAATAAGTATTGTAAAAGGATACAGTAGGGTATGCATAGGGTCACTATGAGTTGGAGATGACTTGACAGCATCTAACAGCAACAACTCCCAGTAATAAAATATTTTAATTCTATAATCATGTACAATAAAATTTTACTCCCACTTCCTTGTCTCCTTCAAAAACCAAAAACTCATTGTCATTGAGCTGATTCTGACTCACAGTGACCTCCACTGGTTTTGCAAGGAGGTAAATCTTTACAGAAGTAGATTACCACTTCTTCCTTCCATGGAGTGGCTGATGGATTCGAACTGCCAGCTTTCTGGTTAGCAGTCAAATGCTGTAGGCAGTGCACCCTGACACAGTCTCTTCTTGATTTTAAACCATGCAGTGTTTCCTTTTTCTGTTTGAACGACAGCTTCCTGGTCTATGTTCAGGTTCCTTATGAGTACAATTTACTGTTCTGGAATTCCCATTCTTCTCAATGTTATCCACAATTTGTTATGACCCACACAATCAAATGCTTTTGCATAGTCAATAAAACACAAGTAAACATCTTTCTGGTATTCTTTGCTTTGAGCCACGATCCATCTGACATCAGCAGAGATATCCTTCATTCCATGTCCTCTTCTGAATCCAGCTTGTATTTCTGGAAGTTTTCTGTCAGTATACTGCTGCAACTGTTTTCGAATTATCTTCTGTAAAATTTTACTTGCACATGATATAAGTGATATTGTTCAATAATTTCCACATTCTGTGGGATGACCTTTCTTTGGAATGGGTACAAATACGGATCTCTTCCAGTCAGTTGGCCAGGCAGCTGTCTTCCAAATCTCTTGACTTAACTGAGTGAATGCCTCCAGCGAGGCATCTGTTTGTCAAAACATCTCACTGGATATTCCATCAATTCCTGGAGTCTTGTTCTTCACCGATTCTTTCAGTCCAGCTTCAACTTCAATACCATTGGTTCTTGAACATCTGCCATCTCCTGGAGTGGATGACGTTTGACCAGTTCCTTTCAGTACAGTGACTCTATGTATTCCTTCCATTTTCTTTTGATGCTTCCTGCATCATTCAATATTTTGCCCATGTTGTTGTTTCAAAATTGCAACTCGAAGCTTAATTATTTTCCTCATTTCTTTCAGCTTGAGAAATGCTGAGCATGTTCTTCTTTTTTGGTTTTCTAACTCTAGGTCTTTGCACATTTCTTCATAATAATTGGCTTTGTCTTCTTGAGCTGCTCTTTGAAATCTTCTGTTCAGCTCTTTTATCTTGTCATTTCTTCCATTTGCTTTAGCTACTTTCCATTCAAGGGCAAGTTTTGGAGTCTCTTCTGACATCTATTTTGGTCTTTTCTTTCTTTCTCATCTTTTTAATGATCTCTTGCTTTCTTTATGGATGATGCTCTTGATGTCATCCCATAGTTCTGGTTTTCAGTCACTGGTGTTCAGTCCATCAAATCTGTTCTTTAGATGGTCTCTAATTTCAGGAGGAATATAATCAAGGTCCTATTTTGGCTCTCGTGGACTTGTTTTAATTGTATTCAACTTCAAGTAGAACTTGCATATGAGCAGTTGATGGTTTGTTCCACACTCAGCTCCTGGCCTTGTTTTGGCTGAAGATATTGAGCTTTTCCATCTCCTCTTGGCACAGATATAGTCAATCTGATTCCTGTGTACTCCTTCTGGCAAAATCCACATGTATAGCCCCCGTTTGTGTTGTTGAGAAAAGGTATTTGCAGTGAATAAATCATTGGTCTTGCAGAATTCTATCATGTGATCTCCAGCATTATTTCTGTCAACAAGGGCAAATTTTCCAACAACCAGTAATTCTTCTTTGTTTCCAACTTTTGCATTCCAATCACCAGTGATAAGCAACACATCTTGATTGCATGTTCGGTCAATTTCAGACTGCAGAGGTTGATAAAAAAAATACCCATTTCCTCATCTTTGACTTTGGTCGTTGTTGCGTAAATTTGAATAATATCAGTATTAACCGGTCTTCCTTGTAAATGTATGGATATTATCCTATCACTGACAGCATTGTACTTCAGGACAGATCTTGAAACATCCTTTGTGATAATGAAT